CTTGAGTTGCAACCAGAGTCACGGAACGGATTAAGTTCGTAACTAGAGGTACCACTGTACTCGTATTTCATTTTTGTAATTATCTGACATTGCTTTATATAATACATAGCACCACACATGATTGGACTGAATTTTTTAAAATAAATGAATATGTAAAGAATTGTTTCTCTTTTGTCTGGGGTGGGGGCAGGACACGCCAGGAGAGTCAAGTTAAGCATTTTCCAAATTTTTGACACACTGAGCCCAAAAGGTTTGTCATCATTGCTTTAGATCATAAGGGTGGAGGATGAGTTGTAAGAAACATCCAGAGCATCCCCTCCTGCTCACCCCATGCTCTTCCTCCACCCATGTGTCCTATCAGGCACCGGGTAAAGCAAGAAATCAATAATAAGCAAGGTCTGTCTTCAATTAGCCCTGCAAGGGAATGTCAGTGCTAGCCCTGAGAGTCTGGGATAAGCAGCAACCAGAAGTAGACTACATCATAGACAAAATGTCATCACCACCCCCAAGTAATAAAAACAGTAAAAAATATGCCCATGCAAAACCCTTTGTGGGTAAAAAAAAACAAAAACAAAACCAGATGTAGCACTCTTTCATAAGAACATTGTATATAGGAAGTCCTTTGGAAAACACCAGTCAAGCATTGCACTGACAGATGCTCTGTGGAAGCAACATTTCCAGTCTCTCCTGCAGCACAGGTCAAAACAGCTATGGAGAGCAGTCTGCAGGGACTAGAGGGGTGTGCCTACAGCAGCTTAGTGACCAACAGAAGCTGGGCAGATCCTTCAACCACATCAGTGATAAAGTATTCTGGATTACATCCGTGGAAAAAAATGTGGAAAACACTCCTTTAAAACTGGAACAGCTAAGGTGACTTTATGCTGCTTCAGTCATGGGCTGGGAATGAGAATGAAGGCAATGTCATGAGGACATGGCTAAGCATGTCTGTGTGCAGCTTAGGGGGGTGAGGATGAGCTCACAGAGTGGCAAACTTAAAGGAAGTGAGAAAAGATGGGGAAAGGAATAAGGCAAAGCAAAACTTTATCCAAATAGCAATTTATACTTAAAACAGTATCACTGTGAGACTCATATTTGCTTTTAGTTAAATTTGAGCTAATTTTAAAAGGCTAATTTTATTAGTAAATATAGGAGGAGCCAATTAAGGCAAATGCGGCCCCTATAGCTATACAGCACCCCACATTTACATGTATTGGTATAAACACACTCTCAGCCACAAGAATCAGCTCTACCCTTGTTAAAAAATCAGATAGTTTGCCATCTAGCTAGTAATACCTACTCCATAGATAGAAACCTGGTGACTGTAGCATGGCAAGGACAACCTAACCGGTTTGTCTTCTGGTAAATGGCATTCTGTGACTAGTTTGACAGTTGCTGTGACAGCCAGTTCTGAACAGCCAAATCCCACCTCATAGCAGCCACTTCGTTAGAATGAAAAGATACAGTCTTGTAATTACTACTAAGTACACTTTAGCTAAAAAATACTGCCTATCCCTAATCTCCAAGAAACTTCCTCTATTTGGTAACCTACTGGGCCGCAACTTCCAAAATTCCCAGCTGGGAATTCTGAGTTGCCATCCCAACACATCTGGAGGGCTCCACGCTGGAGAAGATTTGTCTGTTCAACTCTCCAACAGAGGTAAGGATATTTTTCACTGTGTACCACCTCAGGTTCTGTTTAATCTGCAGTGCAGGATTGATCCTGGATCCTCCTGCATGCAACATTTGTGCTCTTTCCTTGAGCTGTGGTGCTTCCATCTCTTGGTTCCTAGACACACACCCTCCTTCCTTTTCAAGAACCTGTTATCTGTTCTCACCTCGGAGATTCAGGTAGGAGAGAAAATCCATCAGAGTTTGGAGGATGCTGTAATCAGAAGGTTGCACAATTGGTGCTGAAAGATGGAGGAAATGGCATTAAGGGCTAAATAATGGAAAATACAGGAAGAATTCAGAAAAGCCAGCTAAAGGCTGCTCACCCACAGAGTCCTGCCCCAGAGAGTACAAGTCCTCCACTGCATCGCGCTTCCCAGCCAAACCTCCTTTATCAGGCAACGTCTGATGGGCATCTGCTTTGGGGAGAGGGGAGTAGAAGGGAAGAAGTGCTGCAGGTTACATGGAAAAAAAAAGAAATGATTTATACCAGGTTTATAAACCAATAGCCACTTGATGGATGGACAGGTGGCGCTTTATAATCACCCCACTGCCAGTGAGCAAACAGGGAATTTAGGGAATAGGAAGAGAATTGGGAGACTTCCAGGTGAAGCTTTTATCATGCAATTTTCTTGCTTCGTTCACAGAATTTGTTTTCTACCTCTAACCTCCCCATATTTCGGCACTAAATCTTATCATTAGTAGTGCTAGGAACCCTCCATGTGGAAGCACTCTATATCTTAGAAGGAAGATGCTGCTGCTATCATCATCACCCCCCCCCCCTTAGTTGGCTTTTCTCAGGCCATCAAGAAGCCACAGGAGAAGCAGTAATGTTTTTGTTGACTAGTGACTCTTATAGATTTCATCTGCATGAGTGAGGGAAATCAAAATAAAGTTCCAGTGGGGAGGTGGGTACAATTCCTGATAAGCATCATTGACTACTTCCTATTTATTCTTTTGCAGGTATTTGAAGGACAAGCCAGCCTTTCTCCACCTGGCACCCTCCAGCCTGAACTACAATGTTCTAGCTAGGTATAATGGGAGCTTCAATCTAGCACCAGTGGAAAATGCCAGACTGGAGAAAGCTGCAGTATGAAAGTTTATTTATTTATTTATTTATTTACTTATTTATTTATATTTCAAGTTTAGTCCACGCTCATCTCACTCAAGAGCGGAAAATACTATTGTCATAACCTATAAAATGTTATTTGAACAGAACATATAAAATGGCTGTGTTCACTGCAAGTGCATTCTGCAGGCAATAAAAATTATCATAAATTCAACTTTCTAGGGATATATAGATGTCATCATTCATCAGTGGTATTATGACACCTTATGGAAAGATTATGACACCTTATGGAATGATTCTTCCTATTCCAGGGTTTCTCAACCTTGTCAACTTTAAGATGGGTAGACTTCAACTCCCAGAATTCCCCAACCAGCCATGTAAAGTTGAAAAGGTTGAGAAACACTATCCTACTCATTCCCTTCCTTGTGACAAATGTTTAATGGCAGTAGTACAGCTAGGTAATTTAAATTCTAGAACTTCCTGATCACATGTGAACCCTCCCTTGGAAATACCATTTAGTTGCAAAAAGGAATATTGTATTTTTATAGTAACATTGACAAACAGAGCATCCGCATAGCCAAACTACCAGCTCTCAGATTAAAGAAATGTTTTTAAAAGGTAAAAAAGGAAAAGATGCAGCATGACTAGCAGCATCAGCCATATGTCGGGCTCTTTGGCAGCTGCCTAAAACTGATTATTTTAGTTGCCTAAAAGTGAAGCATGATTCTCAGCAGACTTCTCTTTAGCAAGATTTATTGAGCTACGTGAGATGGAGTTACAAGAGTTCCAGCAGCTGAACTATTTTCCATTTAGAATGAATATATCCCCTTACATTAAACACTGTTTAATTTTCTTTCCAAAAGCTTTCCTATGAACCAATAGGGAGGGAGGTCTCTCCACTGATAACGGAGAAGCTAGTAGCTGGCTGTTCACATAATGGTTGCTTGACTCCCAGCAGTCTAGGAACCACTGCAGCCAGATTGTGTTTCACTGGATGTACTGATGCTAGGCTGTTGCTCTGATCACCTCTGCTTTTTTATATAATAATTTTATCAAACATTACAGATTAAACAGATAAAAACTAATACAAACTACAAAAAATAAAAGGATAAAAATAAAAAATACAGTGGTACCTCGGGTCACGAACGCTTCTGTTCACGACCAATTTGGGTCACGAACAGCACCGTTCACAAAATTTTGCTTCCGTCCACGAACTCCA